CATGTCTTCTAATATTTAAGTAATAGTGATAGTAGTTTTACTTTTCCTCACTGGTGGATAAATATTGATTCTATGCATCTGAAGACATATCGATGTATTCTGAAGAAACACCATTGATATAAATCAAGTCTCTGGGATTCCAGAAAGATCCCTTGAGAATTATTTTTTTTGGGGTCCACTAAGAGCAGCTGTTTTTGCCTCCGTCTTATTTGTAGTGTGGAAAATACGTAGATTTAAAATGATAAACGATGTGCAATGCTGTAATTGAGAAACATTTGTTTCTGCAAATGATATTATGCAATACCAGTAAAACGCAATTGGGTAAACACGCATTTCACAATTTGACTTTCCTGTCCATTACAATGCATTTTCTTCTGTTAAAAACAACTTGGTGTTAAAGTTAACATGGAAGCAAAAATGACCCTAATTACGTTTTAATATATGTTCCTGGTTTATTGTGCATGATTTGCTGCTGTATGTTATTCTCAATCATTTGATTCGCTCTTATTTTCCGACACCTTCTTATTTTCCCCACCTGTCACACTTTTCACACTCCAGTCATTTTCGACGGATAAAACTGATTCTTACCTGACAGTCTTGTCTTGTTCCACTCGGAAATGTCAAATTAATGAAGTAAGGTGGGTTGGGAATGTCTTTCCATGTTGACTTTCACACAGAGTTGGTGAACAGTTCGAGCTCATTAAAGGAAACCAGGATGTGTATAATAAAGTGGTTGTAGGCCTAACAGCTGTCTCTGACCCTGATGCCTTTAGGTGATGCTGCTGGGAGACTCGGCAGTGGGGAAGACCTGCATCCTGGTGCGCTTTAAAGATGGTGCCTTTCTGGGAGGCAACTTCATTGCCACAGTGGGGATAGACTTTAGGGTGAGCCAGCAGTGGACAAAACTGGTTTGCTTCTCTTTTTGCAACATGTTTATATCTACTGATGGAGGTCATACCATGATAAATCTTGCGGAACTGAAATAAGCGTTTCATGTATTGTAAGCTTCAGAACTAGACGTTTTGTCGCCTGCTGGCCGCTTTAAATGCTCAAGCTCTTTTATGTCAGGTGGCTCTCAATGATTTTATCAGTTCAATTTGATGATTTTGCAAACATTATTGGAACGTTACTTTTGAATGTTCGTTAAATGTTCTGAAATAAGTAGTAATGTCTAAAAAAGACAGTTTTTTTTTTTTCTTTTCGAGAACTTCGAACAACATTCAGTTGAACATTCTAACATGTTAGCCAATGTTCTCAGAACATCCGTTAGCTGGCTTCTCATAGAATTAGAATGATTATACAGCTTTATACAGTGGTTGTTCTTGGTGTAAATAGGCCTTTACCTTGGTTTCTATTTAGCTAACAATAGAAGTGTGCTTTCCTTGATGTTAAGAGACCATTTTTAACAACGTCCATGATTGTTTCGGTCTGATCTTAAAGGGGTCATATGATGCGATTTCAAGTTTTCCTTTCTCTTTGGAGTGTTACAAGCTGTTTGTGAATAGATAAGATCCCTAAAATTGCAAAGACTAAAGTCTCAAACCCAAAGAGATATTCTTTATAAAAGTTAAGACTCGTCCACGCCCTCCTAAAACGCTTCGTTTAAACACGCCCCCACATGTCTACGTCACTGTGTGGGAAGATTTGCATAACGCCGCCCAAATGTTCACACAAAGAAAGAAGGTGTAACTTTTATTCTCGCTGTAGTATTGTTGCCGCCGCCGCCATGTCGTGAAGACGCTGTGTGTTTCGTTGTGAAAGCGAAAATACTTTGTTTGGTCTTCCAAAAGAGGACACGACTAGAAATCAGTGGTTAAGTTGTATTTACAACACTGTTCCAGAACAGTTCAACCCAAATATTCAGATGTGTGCAGTGCATTTTATGGAGGACGAGGACTGTTTCCTGATCCTGGGAGAGTAGACTACAATGCCGGCTGTTCTGACTCACAGCCTGTAAGTATGTTTTCATATTTAAAGGATTTGCCACTGATGATTCAAACGTGAGTTTTGAGCAGTGTAGAGTAGCACGTGTTGTTCGTCGTTTCGCCGATCACAAATGCAGACATGGTTTTATGTTTACGCGGCGTGATACTCAACGCAACGCGTAAAAAGACAGTACAAGTAATTATAATCAGTAATTATGTCCCCACTGGATGCAACAAATGCCTAGTTTATAATCGGTTTTATTGTTTTTGTCTCATCGCGCCGGGACATGGCATCACAATATGGTAAGGGGCGTAACATTTCCGTCACACGCTTGAGGTATTCGGCCAATCACAACGCACTGGATAGCTGGCCAATCACAGCACACCTCGCTTTTCAGAACGATGAGCT